TCCCGCCCATTATGCTCGTTCTGCTGGTTGGACATGATACAGAAATCCAGAAACTCCGTTTTTTCAAAATAGCCAAAAAAATAGCCATCAAGCTGGTCCAAAAGACCTCCGACCAGGCCAAGCAGAGGCCCAGTAAGGCCAGTAAGGCCCAGTAAGGCCAGAAGGACATTGTTGGCAGGCAATGGCAGCTCAAATGCTTCATCGGACCCAATGAAGTGCCCAAGCCCTGAGGGCCAAATAAGTGTACCCACAAGCAATGGACCAGAAAGTTGGGGCTTATCTTACTACAATCTACTTGTGTCCTCGTCTTGAAAGATGATGACGCATTAGCCCTTCTTGTGACCTCATTTGAATGATGATAATGCTGCGTTGCCTCCCCCATGATGGTGACCCGGGTGATTATAATGCCGATGATCGATAATCATGACATCGATAATCATGGTGTGGGTGACACGAACGACAGCTATGACGATGATAATTATGAGGGCAATGATGTGGACGATGGGGATGATGTGGAGGAGGTGGATGAAGGGGGGTTGGCTTTGCTGCTGTTGCTCCTGCTGGGGTTGTCATTATCGTTGATGTTGTTGCCGTTGCGCGTGTTGCTACTGTGTGGCTTCCATTGCCGCTATTCCTGGTCTTGCTGCTTCTGTTCCTCCCTTTGCTACTGCTTGCGTCAGGGGCAACGTGAGCCGTTCAGGGTAGGAACGAGGGAAGGGCATGGGAGGGAGTGATTTGTGTGACACATTCTGCTTCCCCTCTGTGTCTTTGCCGACAAGATGTGGTCAACCTGAAGATGAAAAGGCACAGCGGGGGAAAGGACATCTCCCAGAGGTGATGACATGATGACACTGAACCAGCAGATATTGTGACTCGAGCACTTCACCCATAGGAAACGCAATGTAATCCATTGACCGGAGAACATAGTCTTTTTGTGACGGGAAGGTATTCTCAAGCGGAGTTGGATGTCTTAACGATAGGGGAGCACAACAGACCCAAATGAGGGGGAGGGGTGTGTGCTAGGACGCCTCCACTGCTACGGGAGCTGGGCGGATGACACAGCTGAGAGTTGGGGGTTCGTATAGGGTGATGTATTTCTAGACGAGGCAGATGACATCATCACGAGCAATGAGCAGCTCAACCTCTTTCTTCGTAAATGGAAGCACCGGAAGGCAGGCCCCAACCAACTTCTTCAACTGTGCTTGAGCCATGTTAAAGGGACGATGAACGGCCATCCATCATGGCAGCAATGTAAGCATAATGTTGACTTCACCGGGGGATTGTATGGGTTGGAGACACAGGTGAGGGACAGGGTCAAGGACATTGCATGCACATACATGGGAGGAAAGGGATGCATTGTGCAGATTGATGAACGGAGTACTCCACGTGCCCAACCCCAAGTCAATATATGATGCCATTGCTGAAGGGGATGGTCTTCTGGAAGTTTGTCTGGGTTGACGGGCTGGAGAGAATGACGCGGAATGTTGCAAGGGCTTGGATGACATCATCAGCGAGATGCGGCCAGCCAATTTTCTTTGGGTCATCGTGTACAATGCCATGTCTGCAGGGTCACGAGGATCAGAGGAGCATCAAGTGGGAGGGCCAGTAGAAGTAGCCCAACATGTACACGGCCCGTGACTTGGAAATGGGCTTTGCATTCTGCGCATTCTGCAGCCCTGTGCCAAAGGGGTTGTCACGACAAGCAAGCTCCACGGTGAATTGCGAGTGGAATTGGGGCATGCATGAGATCATCTTCACCAAGAGGAGGACCAACCTCACAGCAGGCAAGGTATCCAACCCCATGTGCTGTGGATGCCAGAGCACAGTGTTGGGATGGCATAACAAACTCCTTGGACGGGACAAGAAGATCCCTAAGGGAAGGGCTTGTAGAGGAGGCCGAATGGCGCCGTGAGGCATGGGTCAAGAACGTTCAGAAAGAGAAGCCAGTACAAAGATAACCTTGCGGAGAGTGTTTCTGAGGGGGAGAAAGGTGACTTAACAATCTGCCAGTGGTGCCTCAAAAGCATGGCATCACATGATCCCTGATGATGAAATGGATAAGATGACCGCCTTGGAGGACAAGGATCACGAGTGCACACTCTGCAGAGAGCCAGGGAGAAAAAGAGCGAGACACAGTTATGGTGGAAAGTGCCTTCGGGACCACCCATGAAGATGGCAGTGGAGAAGACCGGGGAGGGGCCGTAGTGGTGTCTTGCTCCTTTTTTTCTCCCTGGTTCGCTCCTTTGGAAGTGGTGGAAGTGCTGTGGCACTTGTGCGCTAGCTGGTTGGGCAGGCGCTGGCTGAAGTAGAGCTGCGCCAGGAAGAAGGGAGGCTGGGCGCTGGCCGCAGGGAAGCCATAGCTGCGCCAGCCCATGTTAGTAGTAGAGGGTTAGTTAGTAGGACATCAGTGAGTGACATTCAAAGTAGATCTTCGTAGGTGAGAGTGTGCATGCAGAGTGAACAGAGAGAACCAAGACATAGATCTAGAGAGAGAGAGAGAGAAGACAGGGAGTAAGTCTGGATATGGTGGATACTTACCTGTTGCGCCACACTTGAGATCTGAGGAAGGACGCTGGTAGAGCCAGGTCCCATGCCGTTGTTTGATGAGGGAGACTTACCTCTCGATGGCGCTGAACTCTGGACATCACGATACTCTTTGTATTCAAGACATTGATAATACAAGCTGCGCTACTGGTTCTTATCTCATCTCAGTCTGGTTTTGTGTGAGACTACTTTGTACGTGTGATGACATGTATGCATGCGGTGTGATGCTCTCCAGCAAGCTGTGAACAGTCAGGTTCCTTGCAGTGGAGAAGACCGGGGAGGGGCCGTAATGTTAGAAGAGGAGTCGTGAGATAGGATAGTGAAGTGAGGTCAGCGTTCTGGTTGGAAGAAGGAAGAGGAAGTCCAAGAACATTAGAAAACTGTAACTCACAATCATGGTGGATAGAGCCATACCGTCTTCACCCAAATAGAACACTCGTTCATTATAGCTGTGTCTAGACTGAAAATTGCCCCCCAAAACAGCGATAATGACCGGATGCTCTACTCGGGTGAAGACAGTAGTGCCCAAATGCGGTCAGTCGGAGCTTGCTGCAGCGTGGTCGCAGAAGCAGCAGTAGGTTGCACAGGGACATCCAGAGACGTGCTAGGGAACGTTTGGCAATCCAAGACATGTCTACCAGCTGCAGCTGCACCAAAAGAGATAAATAGAGGGTGATGCGGAGGAGAACAACAGTGGCATTAGGGAAGAGGTCACATTCAAGGAGGCAGCAGCTCATGTGCTGACAGGGGCAATTCATCGTCCTCAGCTAACGCCATCATCATCATGAGAACCACGTGCATGAGTGACACCCTCCACAATGATGATGATGATGATGTGCTGCAGCAGCAGAGTGCCAGATGATGATGATGATGATGATGATGATGATGATGATGATGATGATGATGATGTCATGATGATGACGACGTGCATCAGCATCCTATGATGATGATGACGACGTGCATCAGCATCCTATGATGATGATGACGACGAGGGTCATTTCATCTAGATGTGTATAAGAGACAGGCTATACGCCGTGTTCCTCGCACCAAATGCCAACAGTTACCTTCTCCTGATCACACTGCTGCCGTTCGCCATCTTCATCGTGATGATGCCCTTTG